GGATCTATTGATTTTTTGTATTTCGAAATAGGATAATTGTAACTCTCGTCTGATGCGGACTTGAGCTTCAAGAAGGTCTTTTGGATTACTAGCACGAATAATATGAGCGATTTTTGGATCGAGGCCGGTCAATAAGGTATTGAGCGCCATTGATTCAATTAATACAATTTGGGCCTGTTTTTCTACAGCAGAGAGGCTAGATTTCTGTATATTTGCGTGCATTTTTGCATTAAGGACTTGGACACGATTAAGGAATGTAAGAGCCGATTCATTTGGAAGTTGTTTGACTCTTTGTAAATCTTGTATCAAAGAAGATAAGTCTCTAGTGTCTCCAAAATGAGAGGTAAGAAGCTGTTTAATTTCTAGATACGATAATGGATTTCTTGAACTTATAAGTTGCGCTGCTCTTCCGCGTAATTTATTTTTAATGTGAATTACTAATAGTTGTTTTTGATCGCGCGTGGACATATTATAAGCATAATCACAAGCATTTAAAAATGTGTGTAGAAATATCTGATCGCCTTCAAATTCGGGTACGATGGAAAATATTTCGGATAATTTGTAAGGTTCTATTTCAGGCTGGTTCTCATTACGAGAAGCGGGACGAGAAACGTTGCCGTTATCATTCATGGTGGTTAATAAATCAATAAACGAAATAGAAATAAAAATATAAGATAATGGATTAATTAAAAATAATTAATCAAATATAAATATCAAATAATAAAACAAAATGTAAATATCAATACAATAAATCGAAAATGTAAATATTAAAATAATAAATCAAAATATAGGAAAAGTATTTTTCTAAGACAGTGTCTGATTAGCAGAATAATCGACACAGGTAATCGTTTAATAAAATGAAAATAAAAGTTGACGATTTACAGAATAATCGCCAAAAGTTAATAATTATTAAAGTAATGGTCAAAAAATATTCACATTCGGCATAAAATTACTAATTAAATGAATATTTTATATTGGAATATCGAACAGTATATGGTAATAAATGGTATCAAACAAAAATTATATACGAGATGATTCAGTATTAGACTTACATTAGTTCCAAAAACATCTAGTCGTCTTGTTCTCGACAGCTAATCTACCAGGGGCTTCACTTGGTGTTCCTTCCGTAGATGTCTGCAAAGTTAGGACGGCACTGCTTTTTGGAGTTTTCTGGTTCTTTTTCTGATTAAAGGATTGGAATCCACCGTTGTCAGTTAGGTTCTCCTTGTTCTGCCAACGTTTCCAGATCCTACTGACTGCGCCACTTTTTATATCACGAAACACTTTTTTGACTTTTTAAAAAATTTATTAATTACAAAATACAAGTTACGTGGTAAAATGAATGAAATATAAAATATAATGAATGAACTACAAAAATATACTGAATAATAAATTAAGAGCGACAAGCGGTTTTATAATATTAGTAAATGCTGACTCAGTGGGAACGTGTAAAAAGCTTGGGTCCCGCTGACTCTGCTGGTACTGCATTTGCAAGGATCCTTATCGGCTCAGGTTGTTGGAAGTGGAACCTGATACCCTGGGAATCGTCGTGATAAGGAACATCGGTTGGTACAATGCATATAACATATATATATATATATATATATATATATATATATATATATATATATCCCGTTTATAGCGTAATCCGCCTTTGGGTTCCCGTTCGCCAAGCCTGTCTATTCTGCCAGTCTTCTTCAAATAGATTTCTTGCTGACATGGCTTTTGAAATTCCTTGCATCCATGTTGTTGGTGGTCGTCCTCGTTTTCTTTTCTCTGGTGGTACCCATTCTAATATTTTTTTTGGTAGTCTTTCTTCCCCCATACGTCTAACATGTCCGTACCATGTCAGTTGTTGTTTTTCGATGTCTTCTATAATTGATCTTTGTACATTCATTTGATTTCTTATGTCCTCATTTCTCACATGTTCTAATCGAGACTTTCCCGCTGCTCTCCTCCAAAAATCCATTTCAACTGCCAAGAGGTTACCTTTAAGTTTTTGTGATAACTGCCATACTTCTGAGCCATACACGATTACTGGTTTCAATATTGTGTTATATATTCTTTTTTTCGTTTCCGGTCTTATATTTTTCTGTCATAGTACTGAATTCAATGCACCTATAACTCGTTTCCCTTTGGTTATTCTGTCTTTTATGGCTTCATCAGTTCTTCCTGTCTTTGTTAGTTTTACCCCCAAATATATACATTGATCGCATTTCTTAATTTTCCCGTCTTCTAAGTCGAGGTCATCTGCAGTATTTTCTCCTCCTATGCAAAGATATTGCGTTTTTTGTAAATTTACTTCGAGGCCCCATTTTTTGTACTCTTCCATTAGTTTTCTAGCCATATACTCTAGGTCTTCCTTGTCTTGGGCAATAACTACCTGGTCATCTGCATAATGCAGCGTGTATAACGTTTCATCCCCAATAGACAGCCCCATCCCTTTACACTTCTTTTTCCATTGCCTGAGTGCTTCGTCGATATATATATATTAAATAGTATGGAAGATAAACAACAACCTTGCTTCAGTCCTTTTGTTACCTGAAAACCATTAGTAACCTTATTTCCTATTTTAACTTTTGATATTGTGTTGTTATATAGATCTTTAATAGCGTCGATTAGTGAAACGCTGATACTGGTTTTCTCCAATACTTCCCACAATTTCGCAACAGGCACGGTGTCATATGCTTTTGTTAAATCGACTAAAAGTAAATGCACTTCTCGAGATCTCAGTGTTCTTTTCTCGAGTATTTGGGATAAGCAAAAAATACTATCTATTGTGGATCGTCCCGCTCTGAATCCGTTTTGTTCTTCTGATTCAAAAGGACGGTATTCTTCGCATATGCGTTCTTTTATAATTCTCCCATATAATCTGCTAAGCGTACTCGTAACAGTTATACCCCGATAGTTATTGCAATCTTCCTTATTTCCTTTTTTATGGATAGATGTAATCCATCCTTCTTTCCAACTTTGTGGCACTGGTTCTCCGTGCAAGTGCCTATTGAAAACTTCTGTTAGTATCTCGAATAGTTTGTTGGTTCCATTTTTTATTAACTCTGCATATATCCCCTCTGGGCCCGGAGCACGTCCATTTTTCAACAATGATATAGCTTTTTTAGTTTCTTCGATGTTAATTGTTGGAGGCTCTCCTTGAATCAGGATTTCATGTTGTTCTATGTTTTTGAATTCCGGTCTTTCTTCTACTAACAGTGTTTTATAGTGTTTTTCCCATTTTTCGGGCTCTATGGAGTGTATGGCTATTTGTTCTGTTCTGTTGGATCTGATGTTTTTTTATAAATCTCCAGGATTCTCTTGATTTGCGGCCGCCAATATACGTATATAATTCCTGACATTTTCTCTCCCAGCTTTGATTTTTTGACTCTATTATCGTGGATTTAAATTTATTTACCATTTCTCTATATTCTCTTTTGTGTTCTTGATCCTTTGTTCCCAGCCATCTGTGATATAATTTTTGCTTTTGATCTTTCATTTCCTGTAGTTCATCATTCCACCAATTATTTGTCTTTCTGAGTTTGTTTACTCTTATTCCTAATGCTTCTTTGGCCGCTTGATGTATTCCTTTTCTTATTATGCTATGTAACTCTTCTGTTGTTTTATGTTTAAATTCCTGTGGTAGTTGTTGCTCCAATCTTTTTTTATACAATTCTCTAGTACTATCGTTGTCTAAACTTGTTAGACATAGATAGACATAAAAATATTGTATAATATGTAAAATAAAAGGGAAAAAATCAAATTGTGACCATAAATTATTGTTAAAAAAAGCAAAGTTAAAAATACGAGTACTTTTTCGTCTTTTCGTCTTCTAGTAACCCCCACCTATGTCTTAAAACCTTCAGATATCTCTGAAAAATTTTTAGACCTTTTTTTAACCAGACTGGGCTAATTCGTTTCTGAACGAATCCTTGAAAAATAAAAGTTTTGGTACGAAAATGTGGATTTATGTCAAAAGTATCAGTTTAAATAGTTTAAAATAAATAACGTTGTCATTATTTAAACATTGATATAATAATGTACAACGGATAAAAAGGTCGTTATTTATCGAATGAAAATATAAGAACCGTACGATATAGTTTTAAAAAGTCTTAAAATACATTTTTTTTTAATTTGTGAAAAATTGACAGCTAAATGATTATCAAAATGGCGTTATTTCAAATTTATTTCTAGGTTTAAGGTGACGGAAACAACCGCATTTTTCATTGCCAACTATACAACTTTCTAATAAACAATTGAAATAACTTTTAAATAAATAAATATTTTTCAACAAAAATTTGTGTACCTTATAGGTGTAAGACATATTTTTATGTAACTTTTGTTATTATTTATACCTTTTTTTTGTTTATTGCTTCTACAAGTTTTTGCAGTTGTTTGCAATTGTTTAAATACATTATCTACCAAATTTAATTTAGGTCTCAAATGAATGTTTTTTTAAAGCCTTTCAAAATAACAAAAATTCTAATTAGGAAAGAAGTATAGAAAAAAATTTAAAATAGTGATTTTCGGTGATTTTTGCTTTAAAATCAATGTTTAAACAATGACGGCATTATTTTAAACTGATACTTTTGACATAAATCCATATTTTCACATCAAAACTTCAAAATTTTTTTAAGGATTCGTTCTGAAACGAAATAATTTACATTTTATTTTTTGTTTATTGGACTAAATAACATGATTGGAGATTGGATATAATAAAGATATTGAGGGACATATCGCAAGCTGTTACACACCCCATGGAAAATTGTGTCATCTTTATAAAAGTTATCCAGATCAACGGGTCAATCAAATGTGCATCAGTTCCAGTAAACTGTCAAAATAAAGTACATAAAATATAAATGTTTATTTTTATTTGTTTATTTTTTCTGTATTTTGACAATAAATGCAAATAGAAAATATTTTTTTCAATAAGTGCGTTATTTCCAAAAGATTAAAAAACAAAGTTGTCGCAAATCAATAGGCTCCCAACGTATCTACGATTTACTTACCCCGGAAAGAGTCTATAAACAATATTACTAATATTATGATTTAGCAGTGGGTTAGGTTTTGGAGATGGTCTGGAGTCACACCAAAAGCATTTTTTTCTTTCGGCATCCAAATGAGACACAATACAATATCTCTGTTGGCCATGCACTCCACACGTTGATGAAGCGTATAACTGACTTTCCCTACCAATTAACAAATTGCCAGTAGCTGGGTAACAAGAACTTTGTTCACATGGATGTAATTTTTTTGGTTCGTATCCTAAAAATAAATATTCACTTAAGTAAACTATAAAGTACGGCTTTCATCTACAAAGCAAATGTTAGTGAGTTATATTCTGCAAAAGACCAATAACCAGGAAAGTCAACAAAACAAAACCACAGTCACCCGAAATCAAAACAATATCTTATTTGTATTATTTTATTTTATAAATAAAATAACTAATTATTAACTTGCCTTAATTGTAATATTGTAAGATTCTCGAATACTTGAGAACACATGAACAAGAATGCTATTATCTTAAAACCTAAATCTGGAAATTAGTTATGGAAATATTAAGCGGATAAGGGGCAAACTAAACACATCAAAAATGTCTAAGGAACACCAAGTTTTTTTCTCGTATATACATCAATTTTGATTAGATTTTACAAAGTGACACCATTATAATCCCTGAGTAGTCAGCAATGAATTTATCTTAATTTCAGAGTAATATGATTTCCCTGTGATGAAATAACAAAACAAAAGTTAAGAAGTGTATGAATTTAATGGAAATTTTTAACATAAAAAAGTCAATTTGAAACATAAAAATATAAAAACAAATGTGTTTAGTAATCTGTATTTCCCCCAGCAGCATTAATCACACCTTGACACCGCCTTAGCATGCTTAAATTAAATTATCAGTTTCGTTTTGAGGCAATAAAATCCCTTCTTGTGAAGATCTTAAAGATATTGTCTATTATGGACATTGTGCAGAGGAGGATCAATCCATGTCTAAGGCATATCCCATACATGCTCGATGGGATTAAGATCTGACGATTGTGCTGGCCACGGTTAAAGTGTAATATCCTCATTATGAATCCAGTCTCTTACTGTTGCTGCAGTATGCTGCTTTACATTATCTTGCATGTAACAGAAATCAGGACTTGCAACAGTGACAAATGCAAAGACAACAGGTTCTAAGATAGATACGATCAATCTATTGATATTGATTTAAAATGCATTCCATAAAAACGAGATTAGTTTGATGATGAAAAATTATTCCGGTCGACATCTTGTAGACCACTATATGAACAAACACCCTGTACATGCCTGAGTCTTTCTTGTCGACTGTCCTCTTCAAACTCAACTCTCACTCTTCTCGAATCAGGATAGAGACAAAACTTCTGATTACATCTCTTAAATATGCAGAGAGGAACATGGCTGTCGAAATCAACCGAAGGATTTATTTTAGAAAATCAAACTCTTTGCCAGAAAATTTAAATATCAAACGTGGTCTGTAATAGATAAGGAAGGTAATCTAGAGACCGATACTAACGAAACATTGGAAACATGGCGAAACTACTGTGGCGAGCTATATAAAAATAACGAGGTACAAACAGTAAATCAACGGCCCTCTGACTGCCCTAGAGAACCTGTCTTACTCGCTGAAGTCAAGTCAAAGATGCAATTAAATATCTAAAGAGAAATAAATCCCCAGACATTGATTCAATACAAGGTGAAATACTATAGTTACCAGGTAACAAAGGTATTACATATCATCTATTCTATCTGTGTCGCTTTTTAGAATTCAGGAAAATGGCCATCTGATTGGTGTACCTCAATTTATATCCCGCTACAGAAAAAAGGGACTACTACCAGATGTGAAAACTACCGCACACAGTCTCTAATAACACATGCTAGTAAAATCTTGTTGCATATCATCAAAAACAGATTAAAAACCTATCTACATTACCAAATACCTCAGGAACAAGCGGGTTATGTAAAAGGTAAAGGTACACGGGAACAAATCCTGAACCTGAGACAACTCATTGAAAAGTCTAGAGAATTCCAAGTACATATGAATATATTCTTCGTTGACTACTGAACGGCATTTGATTGTATAAGCTGGATAAATCTGTGGTTCATTTTAATAGAAATTGGCACACCAATGCACCTGGTGACACTTATTAAGAATCTGTACCGGTCCAATATAACAACAGTACGAGTAGAAGTTCTCAAACCAATTCAAGACCGGGAGAGGTGTTAGACAGGGATGCGTGTTGTCACCTGACTTATTCAAAATTGATGAACATGTAATAAGGATGGCTTTAGATGGATGGGCCCATGGAGTAACAGTGGCTGGTAGGAAAATCTCCAATTTAAGATATGTTGATGACACTACAGTTATAGCAGCAAATGAGCAAGAAATATTTAATCTCTTGTGAAGAGTTGAGTACGAAAGCAATACAGTTGGTCTGAAAATCAATAAAACTAAGGCAAAAATAATGATGGTCGACAGATTGATTCCACACTATTCAACTGACTAACACGTTACAGGAATACCAGATAGTGGACAGTTTTGTCTATCTCGGGTCTAGTATAACTAACGATGGTAATTGTGAAGCAGAAGTTCGGAGACGTATTGGTATGGCAAAACATGTGATGAGCCGCCTAACTAAAGTTGGGAAAGACAGATGTATCTCTCAAAATTTCAAGATGAGACTGAATGCCCTTGTATTCTCATTATTTCTATACGAGGCAGAAACTTGGACTCTTCGTTGGCGCGAGCGACAAAAAATTGATGCCTTTGAAATGTGGTGCTGGAGAAGAATGCTGTGTATACCTTGGAAAGCTCATAAGACAAACGTTTCCATTCTAAACCAACTCGAGATTTAAAAAAGGCTGTCCACAATATGTCTGCAACGTATTTTGCAATTTTTCGGTCGCGTGGTTCACAGAGGTGACGACAGAGATTAATTGTTTCTGGAAACGTTCCGGGGAGAAGATCAAGAGGACGATCACCAACTAGATGGTTCGACCAAACTAAGAATTCAGCAGGAAACTTATTCTGCGAAGCTCTCAGATCAGCTGAAGATAGAGACCAATAGAGAAAAATTGTTAAGAATATTTAAAAAAATCAGGATCCTCAGTAACGGGGAAACGACAAGAATGAGAACATCATAAGATCAATTCAGATATGAACATTATTACAATGAAGGGCTGTGGAAAGTAGGTGAGGCCGACCAAATGTATAAATAAAAGGTGTAATGCCAAATATAAAGGCGATAAGTTTCAGATTTTCTCACCGCTATAGTCTCACCGCAATTATGAATGTTGTCAGTTTTCAGTTTACATTTGTTTTATTGTTAATCGGAATCTATCTGGTACATAAATTTACTTTTATCTATCTATCTGTAACTCATTATCTAATAATAGTCTGATTATAGGCCTCTTGCATTCGTCTCCTTTTATCCTTTTCTTCCATTGTTTTTTCACATTGGACCTACAGTTTACATAATATCATTGGTCCATCTTATTTGCTGCCGACCTCTTTATCATTTTGCAGTATTTGGTCTCCAGCGCTCATGATCTTCGTGCTACCTTTTATCTTTTTACTTGTTGTTATGTTCAGCCCATCTTTACTTAAGTTTTAGATACATCATTTACAACTCATGCACTGAGTAGCTTTGATTTTAATTTCAAAAGTGTTTCTTGGTTTTTGAGGGTTTCCCCTCAATAAATAGAGGAAGCAATTCTGATTCTTCTGTTTATTTCTCTGGTTTGGTTACTTTTATCGGCTGTGGCAGCTTATCCTAAGTCAACATATTCTGAAACATGCTTTACCTACCTATATTTGTTCCAATTTGTGTAATATTTTTAACAAATCATTATTAACGACTACAGCAACTATTATTAAATGTTTAATTAATTTGATGAAAACGCAAAAAAGTTGTTTTGATTTCAGTTGATAATATCATGAAAGTTATTTGATGAGTTATGTTTCAACACCTTCACCTCAGTCCAATAAAAAACACACCCTTAATATGACTGTGTCCAGGTCGCCGGTTTCTGTATAGATCAGGAGATTGATATATATCTTGAAAATGTCTGCTGTCGCCGTAATCCAAGTCAGGTGGAGGAGATTGGTCTCCTCTTTGTATATGAGACTCTAACAAATAAAAATCAAATATTCCGTTGAATATAAAAAATATTAAAATAATCTGCCAAAAGGACAATAAAAACAATAAATCGTTAATTAATTATTTAGATTAAATACTACTTATAATGATTTACAAATTAATCTTTGATTCTAACACATAAAAATCAAATATTCCGTTGAATATAAAAAAATATTAAAATAATCTGCTAAAAGGACAATAAAAAAACATTAAAACATTAATTAATTATTTAGATTGAATACTACTTACAATGATTTACAAATTAATCTTTGTGTTTCTCTTTGGCATAGTATATACTTGTGCTTCATAAAGTCCAATATTGAAAGTTTTATTCAATTCCATACGTTTTGCGAATATAAAAGGATAAATGCATTATTTATACGCATATTAACCCTTTCAATTTGGCACAGATATCTGTGATATGACTTATTTTATTTCAACATAATTTTAATAGAGGGCGCCTACAGTCCCTATATAAGATGATTTATATGTATTTGAGTCATTTGGAATGTAAACATGAACAATGAAAGACAAAGAAAGAAGTGGAAGATGTATGTAGATCTCTAAAAAATCCGGGTTCAAAGCAGCGGATTCAGGTAACGTCCCTGAAGAGTTAATTAAACACGGTACAACCAAACTATATACAAGTTTAGCCAAACTGTTCCAAAACTGCATTAATGGAATGACAACCCCAGAGGAATGGAAGACGTCATTCATATCCACTATACATAAAAAAGACAGAAGGGATGTATGTGACAATTACAGAGGCATTGCCGTGACAAACTTGGTCAGTAGAATATACGGTAAAGTAATTAAAAACAGAATAGAAAGCGAATATAAAGACTTAGAGGCTGAGGAACAGGCAGGATTTAGGGCAGGTAGATCTAATGTTAACCATTTGTTTTGCATTACACAGATTAGTGAAAAGAAAATAGCCGTTAAGCAAGAAGTACATAATTTGTTGTATGTAGACTTACGAAAGGCTTATGATAGCGTACCACATTATAAATTATGGGAAGCGTTAGAGAAAACAAACATAAGCATGAATTTAATAATTGCGGCGAAGAAACTTCATTACGCTAATGCTCACTCAAAGTAAAGGTT